TTTTTTTCAAGAGGCAACTGGGCTTTTTAGTTTTCTTTGAAGACGTTTCACTTCTCATCGCCAGAAGCTTCTTCAGCTCAGAGGTGAAGAGAGTGCTATTGATCAGATGACTGCAAGGAATCTACACCCTTCCATCCTCCGCCATTCAGTCAGAACTGAAGAAGCTTCTTGGATGAGAAGTAAAAAGGTCTTCAAAGAAAAACCAGAAAGTCCAGTTGCCTCTTGGGGTGGGGGGGGTGGGGAATCCTTTGGAACTTCCTACAAAAGCTGATGTGAGTTGAAGACATCAACCATTCCTCCATCTCATCCCCAAATCATAGAGTCCCCTCCCAGGGGTGGGCTTCAAATAATTTAGCAACCGGTTCTCTGCCCGGTTGCTGGGTGGATGTGGCCATGGTGGGTGTGGCTTAGTCGGCCTCCTGCACCATTCTGGGAGTGAAAACGGGCTGCGGGGGGAGGGCGTTTTTGCCCTCCCTGGGCTCCGGAGGCTCTCTGGAACTTCCAGGGAGGCCTGTTTTTTGCCTTCTCTGAACCTCCACACAGACCCTGCACTTGCTTGTAATTCAAAATTGGCTGCATGGGGTCTTCTTGGAGGGGTGAGATAGGGTGGGTGTGGAACTATCGGTTCTCCAAAGCAGATGTAAAATTAACTTCCGGTTTGTCTGAACCGGTGCGAACCGGTAGCATTCCACCCCCCTGCTCCCATCCTCATGTTGGTATGGCTTATAACTCTCCCCAGTTCCTTAAGGGCTGCTTTTTTGTGATTATCTTTCACAGGTATCCATTACCACTAGCCAAACACTTCTCTAGCAGAGTGTCCACTGATCTATGTTCTTGTAGTGAGCATTGGACAGATCTTGGCATTTTATAGCCACATTTGATCTTTGGGCTGTCCCTGTCCAGAATGGGACAACTCACCATGGCCAATTCACCATGGTCAACTCGCTGTGAGACAATTCAACTTAATTATTTAAAATCATTACAAAATTGTTTTAATTTTTCTCGTTCACATTTCATTTTGTTCCTCCTTTCTTTCATGATTTTATTCCTGTTTTTTTCAATCTGTCTCACTGTGAGGTCAATCAGTAATTAGAAATCAAATATAAATAAATGAGCTGGATACCTGTGCTTCGCTATGAAACTATGTGGTCGGGCTTAGTTTTTGGGGAGGAAAATAAGGGGGAAAATTCTGCCTCTGCCTACCAGCATCCATTGGTATTCATCTGGCTAGCGTCCGGTCAGTGTGTGAGAGAGTTGAGAGCTGTTTGGAAAGTGAAACAGTATTTGCTATGTGACCAAGAAGAAGACAGCAAGGAGCCTGGGTGTGACTTAGCTCAACTGTTCTGTACTAAAGCTGCTTGGTGTTGTGAAAGTAAAAATGAGACTGAAACTCCTCTCCTCTGCTTGTGTTTTGCATTTGGAACACGTTTCTTTTCAGGTGGGGAGGGGGAGTAGAACTCCTTAACATCAAATCATCATCATCATCATATAGGAAATGCTAATGCTCTGATGGTCATTTTGAAAAATCCTTTCTTAGTGAGCACCTGGAATCCAAGAGGAAAATACGTGCCAAATTTCAAGTTTGTAGGCTTTACAGTTATGGAAATTTTGTGATGATGCGTGAGGGGTATTTTGCTGTTTTATAGATAGATAGATTAGATAGATTAGATAGATTAGATAGATAGATAGATAGATAGATAGATAGATAGATAGATAGATAGATGTAGGCCATATGTGCAACACAACTGCATTGCTTTTATTTTGAAGGCAACAGCTTTTTTTTTTCAATTTATGTGTGTGTGTGTGTGCGCGCGCGCGTGCCTACACACCTTCACAATAATGTCTTGGTCCTGTTGGTTTGGTCCTCCGCAACACTACCAGTTTCTCATGTAGCCTCTTGGGAAAATTATTTATCTAACCTTGGATGTCATTGCAGATAGAAGGTTTGGTACTTTATTCAATAGAGTTTTGCAAACAGAAAATAATATCCTGAAAAGAGAAGGTCCTTCTCCCCCCACCCCACTCTGAACTGGCACTAAAGCCAGCAGAGGTGTGTGTGTGTGTGTGTGTGTGTGTGTGTGTGTGTGTGTGTGTGTG